AATGTTTTTTTTTTTTTTATCCCTTCGTGGACAGACTGGGTTTTCCCGGACCAACCCAAAAATTGGTCAATTCAAACCGGTGTCTCTAATGGAAATTAGTTTCTTTTTAAACGCTTATATCTCGAAAATACTAGAGATTTTTTCAATTTCTTTCGATGCAGCATCGTTCCAATTTTTTATTTAAAAAAAAAAATTAAAAAACCATTGATTTTTCGCTGAGATATTTGATTTTAAAATCGCGTAGGTCTTACAGACCCAGTCTGTCCAATTAGTAAGCGTTTTTGGAGTTCACGAAAGATTATTCTAACTTAGTTTTGTAAAACCACAAGACTCAATAAAAATGACGAGGACTTAATTTATCGCGCTAACAATACGAGGTTTCCTGCGACGCTTATGATTGCTTTCGCGTTTTGCGCGTGTATAAGACCGTTCAGTTATCTCCCCTCTCGTCCTTTGCTCACATTTCTCTCTTTCTCTCATTCTTACTCACTTGCTAACCCTCTTCCTCTCTGTTTACCACATATTTGTTGCTTCCCCTTAATACCCCGACCGCTTTTAAAAACCTCGCGCACCGATCTACCGATATTCATTGCGATGGATCGCAACGATCCCGATCCTCCTTCTTCTTCGGTTCTTTGCTTCGCTTGCCATTTTTATTTTCTCGCCGCCGTTCGGCGTAAGGTGTTGTTGCAACAAGGTGTTAGATTAATTGCACGATTAAATCGTCGTAAATCTCGAAAAGGGACGCCTACTCGCCGGCGAGTGCACGGAGGGTGCGCAAGGAGAGAGGACGAGACAGAGAGGAAGAAAGACCGCCTTCTCTCTGTGTTTCTTCTCCGACGTTTCCAGAGCGATACAAATCTTTATAGCGGTAAGATTCTCGCCTTCTCTCCCAAGCCGCGTTCCCTCTTCTGCCTGCCTCGCGTCTTCGTCTCGCGAGAGACGTTAATCGTGAAATTGGAATGCTCGGCGGCTCTCGAGGAAAACTTTCGTGTAGAGAGCAAATATTCCACCGGCGTGGACTTATAAGCGAATAATCGATCAAGAAAGTTCATATGCTCGTTTTACGTGAAATTTGCAACGAAAACAACGCCTCTGCTAAAGATTAAAGCTCTCTCAATTAATTGCAAAAATGCTCCCTTGTCGAAGTAGTTTTTAGGATACTTAGAGTTATTTATTTTTTTGTTCTCTGTGTGAGATGAAAAATTTAGTAGTGATGATTCACTTAAGTCGACCGTTCACACACACACATACACACACACATACACACCAACTAGAAATGCGACCAAAAGACTTTCACTTGGTTGCTTTCGCTTCTTCTGAGCACAATTCTTAATATGTTCAAAACTACCCGCTTCGACGTTGACGTAATGAAAGGTCTCTTGGATATACAATGTGTACCAAAACAATCTTGATATAATAAAAAATTTAAGAAAATTGGAGAAAGGAAACGTGTGATAAATAATCAACAGGTATGTACAAGGTTTGGTTTTTTTTTTTTTTTATTTGCTTCGTGTTAGTAACTTGCTCCGAATGTCGGCAGCAGAAAATATCAGCGTAAGAAAATATATATATTAATGTGTTATACATTATCTTATCAACGTTACTTTATTATTATTATTATTATTATTATTATTATTATTATTGCTCTCGTCGAAGCTTATGTTTCAGCTCGTGCGCAAAACGCGTTATAAACGTTTCAATTGTCGTATATTTTACATAATCGACATTATCTGGTCTTCGAGAACTTCAGCTTGTATTTTCTTTCACGTATCGATTTATACCACAATATGTTGTGTGTGAGTAGCCTTGACTATTATCTATCGTAATTCTATATTACAAGTAACAGTCATAAAAAAAAAAACATAGAGATATATAAATATATAATATAACAATATATATGTCTTGCACGGAGCAAAAACGGGTTAAAATGAGAAATCAACACTTATAGTCCTAATTAATAAATCTCTGCTCATATAAAACCAGCAACGTTTTATCTATGTTAAATATCGGATAAACGTATAAATATTTTCAGTCGTGTTTGCAGATATGTTCGCAAATCAATGCGCATATGTATATCGATGATTGCCAGAAAACTGTGAATTGCCAGAAGTTTTTCTCGAATAATTTGCGGAGTTACTTTTTTTTTTATTGCTAGAAATTACGCAAACGAAAATATTTCAGTTTGGTAGAATTTTAGTGTTTCACCTTCATTGCAACAAATACTCTATACGTATAAAACATAGAGACAAGTAATTTTTAATTGCATTTTGAATTTTTAATTGCGCGTCGCGCTGATAGAGAGTTTTAGTTGTTCTCCCCTAATTTAACTGACTGAATGAATTTTTTTTTTACATAATCTAATTTTGTTAACAGTTAACACACCTCGCTGCACAACAAATCCTTTTATTTTGACAAATTATACGATTAAAATCTATTTGATATTTTTTAATACGCGCTTGATTAGACTAATTCATTCTTTGTGAACTTCTCTCTGAGTTTAGCGACAGATTAACAAATATTATTAATACATCGTTCCTCGATTCTCTTAGTCTCGATCAACCGCACTTTTTTATCATAATAACTTTTTAAACTTTTTACGATTTTTATAATAATAATTTTGTAAATTTCTCTTTCTTCTGCTTATACTTTACAGCATGAGAAACAACTATCTATCTCTAACTTACAGAATATACGATAAAATCTGTCTCAAAACAAATTGCAGACGACCCTCAAAATATGTACATTTGTAATATAAATCTAGGGTAACAAACTACATATTATATTATATTACTTCAACGTGTTAAAAACATAATTTTTCTGCGTTGTATATTTACGTAGTTGTTTAAAATGAGATGTAAAAGAAATTTGTATATATCGATTTATCATATATACACTATCAATATAAAACAACTTACGATATATTTGTTAAAAAGTTTGTTTTCAAAAACTTAACGCGAGGCAAAATAAAAGGCTTACAAATAATTGTTTCTTCGAACATTTGTAATAAAGTTTCGAGATTCCTCACCTCGATCTACTTTCGAGGTCTACTTCACAATTTAGCGAACGTTCCATGCCAGGTCGCATGAAAAAAATAATGTGTCGTAGAGAAATGCAGCGGGCGTGCAAGCGCGCTTTTACGATCTAATTACGCGAATGAAGCTATTTCCTCGAATTACCTGGCACTAGCTTGTTTACGTCGTCATGTTTATTAACTTCGAGTTGTAACCAAATTTGTACAAAAAGGATTTGTAAACTCCTCATCTTTGCAGTACTAATTGAAAACAATTTAAAACAATTCAATTTTGTGAATCAAATGTAGGAACAATAATTGCACTATTTATCAATTGCACGGTTTTAGTCGAGAAACACGGTCACGTAAGAATCTTTCAACTTTATAGCTCCGTGTTCTTTACGAGCAAAAACGACAGAATCGATATTAATTGGGAGAACTTTTTTTTTTCAAATGGAATAATGTTATGTAAACCGCGAGTTTTCGGCGCGCGTGCACGACGATATTATATCTATATAGTCGCTGAAAAAACTCAATGAAATAAATACAACGCGTGTACATATATATATATATACACAATATATACATACAGTAGTGTCCCCGCGCAGTTGTCACTCGGTGGACCGCGTTGACAATAGTGTAAAACGGCTTCCTTGTTTGCTTCTTCGAACTGCACGCAAAACGATAAAAGAGAAAGCGCTCTGAGTATAAATGAGACATGCGAAAAAATCCGAATAAAAAAAGAAAACGTGATGGGGGAGAACGCGGTGACAAACAAACGGCCTAGTGACAACTACGGTATTATTACTGTACATGCATGTACAACCGATCGGTGTGAGCCAAAAAAAAGTAAATATATATAGTTAATGTAAATATAAATTCTACGCTTATCTCTATGGTTTAGAAATTATCAAAAATTTTGCACGTGTGTATTAAAAAACAGTTTTCACGTGTGTTATAACAATACACATGATTGAATTGCACAATTGGAAGCGTGTGGAAAATAAATATAAAACAGGAAGCACTTGACCGAATGCGGCGGTGTGCGATTCTTTTTGCGAGAAAACTCGAAGATTGCGTTTAAGATAAAATAAAATCTGCGTTGAGACAATTAAAACGAAGAGACGCGCGAGCAGGAGTTTGGTTTTTGCATCAAACGAGAATAACAAAAACTTGATATAAAAGTGTAAACGCGACCGATAAGAAAATAATTGCACGATAACGCGCGAAAGAGACAGAAACGCGCTTAAAAAATAATTAAAATTATATTATATACTTAAAATTTTTTATATTAAAATATCGAACAAGTAATAAGAATCTCTTGGAGTAGCTTAAAGGCGGCTCACTTGAGCCACCCCGGTATATACTTACGCATTTATCTTAAAATCTAATCGTTCATGGAACATACTGTATTTAATATATCATAGATATATGGGACCAAAATCGCCAGCACCAATCGTGCGCCCGTGATACCTCGAGAAAACGACACGATCAACCGAAACAATTGTATTTTCTCGTACGTGTGAAAGCCACTGATCGATCTTTGGTACTTTGATCGCGCACAGTTAGCGATCGCCGTGTGTATTTGTTTTTTTTTTTTTTTTTTNTTTTTTTTTTTTTTTTATTGTGATGCTCACGACACGCGTCTAAGGCACTTTTTTTTTTTTATTGATAACTTAATAAACAGCTAGTAAAAATATTTCCGTGATGAACATATCGCGTCAAAGTTTACGAAATGTGAACAAATGTGAACAAACATCACATTACGCTGAACGTTTCGATATTTTATTACGTTGCACAAGAGCAGATAATATAATTACTCCTTATATAGCGAAGATATATTTTTACTAAGGCAAAAGATTTGACGTATTCTGTTCCTTTCTTATCGCGACGTGATTCGTGAGCGAGACGTATGAGCGAAGGGAACATTTGATGTGCGCTTATTTAAAAAGCGTTTCATATAAAAAATAGATTTTTTTTCTCTCTCTCTCTCTCTCTCTCTCTCTCTCTCTCTTTCTCTTTCTTTCTCTCCGAGATTTACTTGGTCTTTTTTGTTCGAGTCGAAGAGTAGCGCAATGGACACAAACTAGGCAGCGAATAGTTCCGCGCTTTAAATATTGCGTCCTGTCGATGTGTGTCGTGTCGCGCGACTCGAGGATACGACGACTGGTGCCGACAAGCGATCATGAGAATAGAGAGAAAAGAGTCATCTCTTCTCTTTTCTCCGTAACAAGTAGTAAAGTTTTCTTCATCAGACTCGCTTATTTACCTCGTGTGTTGTTTGCGGAAACGGAAACTCGTCGGAGTAAAGAAGCGATTCGATGAGGAATCGCGCACATGTGTGGATGTATATTAATGAAAACAATAAAAAAAACAAACGTGTGAGAGAAAGCGCGCGCGCACATACACACAGGGAAAAGAAAGAAGAGAAAAAAAAAAAATTATAAAATAAAGTTACGGGGTCGCCCAACACGGGCGTACTAAACGGACCCGTCGTGGCTCGACGTTATCATCATCGCGGTGTGATAATATCGCGCGTATGACGGATCATTATCGTTCGTCTTTCGATTTTTTCGTGAAGCTTAGCGGCCTCTTCTTCGAAGACGCTCGCTTCGGATGCATACAAATGCATGCGCAAGGAAAGAGATTAAGAACGAAGGAAACGAAGGAAGAAGGAAGGGAAGGAAAGAGAAAATAAGACAAAAAGAAAGAAAAGAAACAGAGGAAAGATAAAAAGAAAAAAAGAAGGGATAAAAGCTGTCTTATAGACAGTAAGGATGGCAGAACTGATACACCAGTCTCTGGCTACGCTCCGTCTTCTTCATGATGCCCTTCTTGTAGTACTGTCGGATGCTGCGGCTGAGCTTGTCGTAGTTCATGGCGGGCCGATTTTTTCGTTTGCCCCAAAGCCGCGCCACGCGCACCGAATCCTCGATCTTGAAGACCCCCTTGCTGCGATCCAACCAACGTATACAAGAACCGTGCACACTCGGGCTCTGCAGTAGCTCCTTCAAAAATTGCCAGAGGTGGATGTGACTGCCGCCGTTGCGCATCTTGCTACCCCCGTTACTCCCACCTTGATCGGAAGCGCATTCCGCGTCCTCGTCTGCACGCAAGAAACAAGCAGGACGCGATGCGGAAAGATGAAAAAGCAAAACTGACGAGCTCTCAATCGCTCTTGTCTTTATATACGCGTAAAAAAAATATAGGAACAAATTTGAGCTGATGAAAGAGCGAGTGTTATAAAAAATTTCGTTGAAGAGAATTAATCTCAGCATATGTAGAAGCGCGTTCGATAAATAGCGATTTAAAATAAATGATGAGTTCGGACAAAACCTCAATGTAACATACCGTCTGAGAAATCTAATACGCAGGGAGGCTCGTTGAGACTGGCTGTCGTCGCATTTCCAACCGCCGCTGGTGTCGCGACACTGTTCGGAGACTGAACCACCCCCGCAGGACTCCAGCAAGCTGCTAACGTGTTTCGCGGCGATTCTTCGACGGCGGCCTTCCAAATTTCCAACTGCGCGTGCAACATGCTCCCACACTTTAACAATAATACATACACGTATACGCTTTAAACGTTTTCTAAACGTTTTGTCAAATGTCACATGTTAAATGTTTCACTCCGTGTGTGTGTGTGTGTGTGTATGTTATTATTGCGTCGGGGACGCTCTAAATTCGAAGGATATATTGAACACAGTTGTGAGATTTCATCGACGCATGAAAAGGATCGCCACGCGGCTAAACAATAAATAAGAGTAGGAGAAGAAGGGATTGGAAGAGAAAAAAAGAAAGAAATAAAAGCGAAGCACACACGCGTGGCGAAGTATTAGAATTCCAAGGAAAGAGTCGTTGTACCATACCACATGCGAGAGAGAAGAGAAAGCGGCAGGCAAGACATTCGAGCGGTTGACCCACTTCTCGATCGTTTCTGCCAATCCGCTGCCGCGCGCGCATTAGCGAACACGGCAAAGCCGATCCCGCTGATCGCAAAAGATCGCGAATAAACGTGCGAGAGAAGCGGTGTGCACGCATACACGTTCGAACACAATTCCGCAATTGACGAGATTCCGAGAAACAAATTCTCAACCTGCCGATGATCATTGTTATTAAAACCCGATGCCAAACCACAAAGAATTCCGTAATTGTTTCCTCGACGAATAAATGTGGCTCTCTTTCTCTCTCCCTCTCGAGGTTTTTTGCACGTCGGTATTAAATCTTATACGCCAAGTATAAGATTTAACTTTCTGTTCCTATTATTTTTTTTCTCAATGTTCTGCCTTTATTTATTTTTTATTTTTTTTTTTTTATTTTGTGTACTTTGTAAGTTTGCACTCTCTCTCTCTCTCTCTCTCTCTCTTTTCCTCTCTTTCGAATCATTTGTATTTTTTGTTTCGAACAACCAAATACAATTACAAAGAACTCGCCTTTAAAATTTAACTTAAACGTAAAAGAAAGAGAGAGAGAGAGAGAGAGAGAAGAAAAAGAAGAAAATTATTGTACAAGTAATAATTTACACTTGTGAACGGCGTGATATCAACAAAGCTTAAACAAGGAAAGAAGTTGGAAGATTGTAGATAGGCTGTAAGTCCGACCATGACTTCAAGCTGCAAGAAATATCTCTCTCTCTCTCTCTATCTTTCTCTCTCTTTCTCTCTACGTAGCACGATTATCCAATTACTACAGACGCAAAGCGGAGTCTATTATGCACGACTACTTCCCCGCTCTTGCTTTGTACATAGTCTATCATAGTTACTCTATTCGCTTAATTTCCGTTAAACTCACACGTTTGTAGTTTTGAATAACAAGATGTGCGCACTTATCTGCAAGACTTGAAGATTTCCTTGCTTAAAATTTACATTAAAAAAACAAAAAAAAACCAATTCCGAATTTTTTGTATTATTAATAATGTTATTAAAAATTCTCGACTAAATAATTTAATGTATTGTTCGCGTGTGGTTGAACAAATTTAGAAACGCGATAAAATAGACAAACTCAATTAATCATCTTACAATACCATTCACTATAACGTAGGAAATTAAACCTTGACAACACCTTGATATATACAAATGGAATATTGTTCGTATTATAAGCAGCTTAATTTTATCAAGTTTGAAATAATTATAGTTATTAATAGAATTAATAAAACTAGATACAGTCAACATCGGCACAACCGGTTTTTAACACGCCCCGATGTCGATAAATATAACTTGATTTGTTACTTGACAAACGCGATTCGGCCTCGTGTGTACGTATCAAGAAAGGCAGAGGAAAGAAATTTTTGCGGTTTTTTTCTTATTTTACAAGTTGTCCTTTTAGAAGGAAATCGTAATTACACACTCATTGTGAGAACGTTAGTTTCACTGTGACACATCTCTTACGTACTTGTCATCAGTGACATTTCGCGTGATTTATTAAAAATTAACGAAGTGTAAAAATTTTGGCGAAATGAGAACAAAAAACTGCTTGGATTAGCGCAACAGTCTCTCATAAATAATCTTTTAGGATAATCTTTCCCGCATCGCTCTGATGTAAACGCGCGACTCTCACGTCGGTCGTCAGATTCTCGCGGGAATTCCGATCCCGTTACATGTCGAAATCACGCAATACACCTTTTACCATGTTCAACTTCTCGGGATATATAGATTAACAAGGAAGGAACGCACATTGATCACCGGGAAAACTCACTTTCACCGGATCTCAACGGCGCCGCGCGCGCGCGCGCGCGAACGTTTCTTAAACCTCGCCTTTGATTCCGTGCGATTTGCGTCGAACAAACGCAGATTCGCTTGTGCAATAATTGCGGATTGTACACAGTATGGTAAAAATATTGACAAAAAAGTCTCTGAGTTTACTTCGCGAATTAAAATTTTTTTTCTACTTGTCAAAAGTATATTAAGTTCCAATTGTTAGTTCATTAATGTAATTCCATGAAGAATAGCACCCTAATGATCTGCAATAGAAATTACGAACAAAAACCGATTAGACTTCCACGCGGCTATTATTGCGTCTGTTGTGTAAACGTATTCGCGATAACAAAAGGCAAAGTCTCGCGAAGCAAGATGTAGACGCTGTCGAACGTCGGACGAGACACAGATAAGAAATGACAATTCGATTGGTATGAGATCGAGTCAGTGCTTTTTATATGTATAAAGAAATAAAATATATCGCGCGGCCACATCTTATCTATGTTTGTGAATTTAAATACTACTCGTTTGTGCGCGCGCGCGTGTGTATGTGTGTGTCGAGTGAGTCGTCAAAATCGTTGGACACGTTGAAAATCACATTCGGCGATTAAGTCGTGTTCAATCTCCCGATGATGTCATATACGTCTCTATTATTATTGTTATTAAATATTATCGCGGATAGATTGTTAAAAATTAAGTAATTTGCGCATGCGATCCAAGGGGCAAGAATATGTAATTAGCGCTCACCTGGGGAGCTCTCTGGCAGAATTCTTCCTCCGTGAGGGAGGCCAGTGTCGCACCGTCGACGTTGAAACTCTCCAGCGGTACCGAGGGTAATTGCAACTGCCGTCTGGCCCACTGTACCCAGGCCGCTACGTCCGCCGCGCTCCATCGTCTCGGTTCTGCAATTAAAAGCCAGTAATCCAACATTATTTTCTTTCTCTATCGCTGATTAAGAAAACCTACCCTACCGCGCGCAGCGTGTAATAAATACCTACACAAAGCGAGACACAAGTTCAATAATTTCAAGATCAGTAATATTTCATGAAAAAAAAAAAAAAAACAATAAAAATTGCATTATTCACTCGCGATAAAAATTAATTTCATCGTACGTACGTATCGAGAGAAATACAAAAAAGTGTGTTGAAAACAACTTTGTATGAAACATAATTACGTCGATGACGTGTGGGCATTTATCATAGCGTCATTTTATAACTCCGCGTGAAAGCGCGTCGCCGCTGCGATACGACACTTGGTAACTTTTTTCAAGCGTGACATCATGTTTCGGACGAATAGACCAACTAACCGCATATATATATATATATATATATATATATATATATATATATATATATATATATATATACATATACATATAGAACGACGATCGAAACTACTTACGCCCGCGGCAAGGTAACGAGAAGGTCTAAAGAGCGAGGCTATAGTCGATAGTCGAGAAAATCAAGGTGTACATGTCAGAATTTCGTCACATAATCATTTCGCATTATTATTATTCGACATTAGAGAAAGTGCTTAGTTTCTGTGAGATGTGATATGTTACAGAGAGAAAGTTTTATATATAAAACACAAAAGTCAAAATAAAAAAATTAAACAAACGACTGAAAACCAGTTATCTACTCGTATTTTATTTCGCAATTAGACTCAGACACACTGTGTTTGATAGAAAAAATCGACTTACCCGGATGAATACCAAGTGCCACGCAGGTGTTGTCAAAGTCTTTCTGCAACTGTTGGATGGCCAGGCTGAGAACCGGCTCGAGCTGCTCGCGGGCAAGATCGCCTACACACTCGCCAGCTTCCATGTCCTCGACAAAGCCAGTGCCGACGCCACCGAGATCGACGGGTCTCAAGTTGTACTTCCTCTGAAAACTGGTGTCCCTCAGCACCTCCCGCAGCAGTTGGTGATCGCTCTTTTGACCGTCTTTGAAGAGCTCTTCTTCCTTACGCAGAGGATTCGCCAATTCGTTCTGCTCCACCTTGGGCTGGTGGGTCTTCGAAATTTCCGCCAGATCTTTACGAGGTGTGTTCTTGAAGAGAAGCTCGCGTAAAGCCGAACTGTTCTCGAACTCACTCGAAGGGCTAGTCGACGACGATGAAGACGAGCAAGAGGAGGGAGAGGACGAAGAGGACGGAGACGAGTCGTTGGCACTGCTAACTGATCGTGGCTCTTCCTTGAAAAGAATCTCCTTGAGTAGCGAATGCCCTTGCACGCCAGTGTCTTCTTTCTTTGGCAGGAAGTCTGTATCAAAACTGCTGTAAATGTCCTCTTCGGTACGAGGCGGGGTACAAGGCACCGTGCAGTCGGTCGAGTCTTCGCGATAGCCTAAACTCTCTAAAAATCTGTAATCGTACGTGATTGTTTTAGTAGAAAAATTACTGATATTGACGAATTCACATACACATTAATGTAAACTAAATTAATGCGTAATAAAAACCGAATAAATAGCTCACTGTGCGAAATAACTCAACGCAAATACAAGTTTTTGCTGTAAAAGCTCACCTGGACTCCTGAAGGATGGCCAACAGATCGAGACTCTTCTCCCGCTTGACCGGCTGTTTGTTGGTCGACGATTCCGGGCTGGTGGGATAAAACTGGGCGCTCTGAGGGCTCCTTGGTACGTAGTAGGGGCTCGTCGGATATCCCGGCGAAGATCCCTCGTGCGAGTAGTTGGGCGATAACGACAGCTCGCCCGTTTGATACGGCGGACTCGGATAGGTGGTCGGCGACCTCGGATGCGGCGAATATGCCTCCTGCTTAATCTGCGATGTCTTCAGATCAAGCTGATGATTGCCGGTCGAACTGTAATCGTCCGACAGCAGGGACAAATCGAACTGAAAATTACTGTAGTCGAACGACGGTGAGTAGCCGGCCGCGGTGGGCACCGTCTGCGGCATCTGAAAAGAATTCAAAATCACAGATCGTCGTACATTTCGTCGTGTTCGGCGATTAACTTGCTAAAAAAACTGTGATATGAGAAGAGAAGAGAAAGCGACGTGTTGGCGCTTATACGCGCGGGGCCCGTAGGCCTGACGCGCCGCGAGACGACGCGTTTCGCTCGTCGCGCGCCGCGGCCAAGGCTAGATCGACGCGAGAGCATATCTCGCGTGGCTTCGAACGTAAGTAACTAATATACACGCAATTAGAGCGCGATCACACATACTTTCTTGTAGTGGTAGACTGAATTCCGCGTCGCGTGTACACACGGAAGAACCGGTCGGGCGATAACACGTATTACACACGAGTGTCGCGCAAAACCAGACGAAACAGACGAATCTAAGTATGTTTCTTCAAATCTAATTTTATTTCTTATACACATGTATTATATGTACGTATCATGTAAACCATATATCACAGCTATCTCAGATGTTCTTGACATTATCTCGGAGTCGCATTTAAGTTTATTTTTTAATTTTACTCGTAGATAGATTAAGGATTATCGGTTGAAATTGCGTATGTGAAATTGCGGCAGCAACGCAGCTGCCGGATTTCACTAAATTTTTACCGAGACGATTTACAAGCAAACATTATATTTCTCTACAATCCGGCGGCAGCGAGAACGAGTGCGGGTTGTAGTCGATAACTATTCGCACACAGTGCGGATCGTAAAGTAAACGCGTATAGAACACAAAAAGAGGATAAATAAACCTTCGATCGTCTTTTGTCTGACTGTACATCATATCGATCTGTGAGAAAGCGAAAACCAGCACCGCGGATGCCGCAGATAAAACACTTTCTCTAAGACCTCTCCCTCTTCCTCTTCGCGCGGGTGTGTGGACCAGATTACCCGTTTATCTTTCAGCGTGTTTATTACCCGTCGTGCGTTTGACCCCGCGTCAGTTTGTTACGCTTCGCGAGTCGCTCACGGCGATCACACACTCTGTTGCTCGTATCTCCGCGCGCGCGGAGAACAACTCGTCGCTATCGTCTTATCAAGGGGTGGCGGAGAACGTGAAGCAACTGTGTTTTAAAAAAAAAAAAAAGATCCAAACAATATATAGAATTATATTGTCAAAACAAAAACACAATTTGCTTCACAAATTAATTTAATGTGTCACAATTACGTTTACAAAAATTTGAAATTAAATGACAAAAGTAACGATCAAGTTAATGCAAAAGTTAAGAAGAGAAACGCGCGCGTCCGACATTTCCAAAAAGCAAAAAAACGATGTAGAGATAATTGTTTCAAAACGCAACTCAACTACAACAAAAGAAGTTTTTTTTGCATTTCCAAACGTTTGTAAATCAAGCGACCAACAAGTAGGTGTTAAAATGATTTTGGTCTTCTTCTTAAAGGAAAGAGCAAACATTGTTGCATTTTAAATCGTCGCTCAGTTCATAAACGCGGAAAAAAAAAGAAATGAAGAATTCTCCGAAAGTGCTGACGAGCGGACCCGAGCACGAGTTTCGGGATCACGCTCCGTCAGATCGTCGGCGTTCATCTTCTCGCGCGGCAAACAAAATGTCGAGATACGCGCGTCGAGAGACGAAACGCTCTCTCCTCTCCTCTCGCGGCCTGGGGTACTCGCGATGTGGTGCACCTTAAGGGCCCATTTATCTCTACGTGTGTTTATTGCCCGTCGTGTGTTTGACCTCGCATCAGTTTGTTACGCTTTGTAAGCCCATTACAGCGTTCCCAGTGCATCTTCTCTGCGTTCAGGCGGGGTCGCATCTGACATTTTGACGTAGTGCCCCGCAAAGGTCGACGCGAAATAAACGATTATACCCACAGACACATGTGCGGGACTCTCAGACAACGTAAAGACACAATACCCCTCTTCTCTGCTTCGATCGTACCGAGACATGTACAAGAACCGCCGTATATATATACATATATATATATATACATATACACACATATATATATATATATATATATACAATATATATACATAGCGCCGTACATGTACATCCATACGCGAGCGTAGTTGGCACAAGAGAACGCCAGCCCAGAGATACGAACGAGCGCAGCGCAAAAGCGTACTCTCCGCTCGTTCTCTCTTGGGACCGCTTCGAAAGGTTTCCGAGGAGAAAGAGAATGCTTCTTATCTATATGTGCTGATGGGATCTAAAGGAACGATACAACTTCCAGGGAAGCTTTTCTGGATTTTCTCCGTACGAGAAGACGTGAGACGCCATGTCATTAGCGATCGCATAAAAAAAACCGTATATTTGCGTCTCGCGAGCTTCGCGTGAGTAAAAAAACCACAATCTCTTGTTTTGACACCTTCGAAACAATTCAACAAACCAACCGTTCAAGACATTTGAGTTCAATGTAATGTGAAAATATAAAACATTTATCAAGCAACGAACATTTATTTATCGGTAATGAGGCGACACAACTCCTCATTAAGCAAGCGGGGAAGGAATTTCGGCTAACTTAATTGGTCGGTTTCCTCGACGAAGAGCACTAACCAAGCGCACTTGCATGCGGCGAGCGTGTGAGAATGGTGCTTTCACGAAGAGAACCTTAATGGTTCTCTCTCTCCTTCGGTTTTGCGCTACACCTTCCTCTCCGTGCCTTTCGCAAAGACAAGTCATTGACGTCACGCGTTCGACTAATCGCCGGTGCAGCTGCATTCTCCCCTTCCGTGCGCAAAACATGGGATTCCACTGGAGTCACGGGCTGAGCGCAGCCACTGGGCGACCTCATAATTTTCGAGAGACTGTCGCGTTTTCTCTCTCTCTCTCTCTGTTCAACCATTGTAATTTATACGCGGGTACACCGCAAGTATGCTTGATATTCCTCGTCATTGTATTTTCGCACATCTGACTTCACGGAAATAATTATTGCTGAAAAAATTTTTGACAAAAAAAACATATATTTGGACTCTTATGTAGATGTGTGTGTGTTGCATAGATATATATAGCTGTTGATTAAACTTATTGCAAATATTCTATGAAAATGAATAAAACGTCGTCACACACACACACGCACACAATTTGCTGAGCTTCATTTGCTGAGCTCAAAGATTTCGAAACCGATTTTTTTCGTCACGGAGAATTCGCAAAACTTGTTGATTGTTATCGCAATAAAAATAACATATAGCGTTGTAACGACAGAAAAATTATTGATGTAAAACGTCCCGCAATTGACTGCGTGATAACGCGAGCGAGTAGCAGTTATTTCGTAATAATGATTTCGATGCTCTCTCTCTTTTCACGATCTTTGTCGGACTTTGAACGTTTACGGTGACATTTCGAGCGAGAAATCACGACCTTCGATAACACCGTTGACCACGAAACGCGAGAGAGATGAAGTATTATAATTTTCTTTTATGTCAAATCGCGGTTTTCGTTCGCGCACCGTAAAATCATCGTTTCTCGCGAGATCTTCAGACCGAAAGAGAGAGAGAGAGAGAGAGATAGTCACATTCCGAGACTTGAAATAATCTCTCTCGTGGTTTTAATAATTAAATGACGAATATATATGCGCGATAATTTTCACGGTACGAGCACATACATATGTAAAATACGTAAACAACTTTATTCGTGTCGTTACGTTTTTGATGTTTTACGAGTCGAAATTTATTTACATATTTTCTCCCGCGAATTATTATTATTGTGACTAGCATTTATAATAACGCGAATAATAACGCGAATAATAACGCGCAAAAACAAGCAACCAATCGCGACAATGTACGTCCACTTTGGACGTTCATTTTGCTCAAACGTTCGCGCGCATCGTTGCAATTAATTCAACTAACACTAAATGCAGCAAACTGATGTCAGTCAGCTCAACCTGAACGCGAGAAAATTGCAACTCGCGTGCGTCATACCGCTCTGAGTTACTCCAGAAACCTCGTTTCCAGTTCGTCGCCTATTCAAACTTGTTTCGGTTCGGGTTACGCTTTCCGCGGCTATTAAAATCAAATATTCATATAAAATATGTATAGACACGAAAATGAAGTCTCTTTATATTCGATCTGTTAAAATCTGTTTTGTGAAACAAAACAATTGCGAAATGTTTTCTTGAGTAAAAATTCAATTCACGGAAAAAATGTGTTCTCTGTGATATATTCAAGGTTTGGAAAATCAACGCGCTCTTTGTAAATAGCGTTTATGCGTGGTAAATAACAAAGTAAAAACATTATTTTTTAAATATTAGGGATTTTTAATGCGCCGCATAATTTTTTTTTTTCCGTATACAAATATGTACAAACTACTATATTACTATATTATCAATGTGTATGCGAGAGATACGACGTGTTTATGCCGTTGAATGAATTACGATGTGAGCGACTGATAAGAAATGGATTTTCACATAAACGCGCTACAATACTTGTTCTGTCGTATTTGCATATTTTTTCTTTGCCACGAATTAATCTTCACTATATGTATGAGTTGCCATGACGTCATAGTCTTATTAAAATAGTATCGTGGTATCTCGTGAAATAAACATTGTGTGAGTAGTAGGTTTTTCCACTTCAATTACTTATCTTTTACTCATTTTCTTATTATTGTACTCACTTAGTTTTCCACTTTTGTGTGTGTGAACATTTCTTTGATCATTTTCTTTATTACATCTTCTTCATTACATCTTTTTCTTTTACTTTCTGTTTACTTTCTATTATCTTTCGAATTAGTTATATAAATAACGTTTCAGAAGATGTAACGTTAATTCTCTCTCTCTCAAAGTTTGTTTTATTATTTTACAATTGTCTACATCTCATTCGATACTTTTCCTTTGACATTGCTCAAGCGTAACGCGTTTTGTAAGATATATCTATCTCCGCTCATTTATACACTTCTGTAATTTTATAACAGAATAAAAATCAAGATCTAATAATTCTTTTCGTTTAACGGCAGCTGTCTCGCGGAAATCTCACACAGATGTATTACCTCAATTACGTGATCCAAGGCCATCGCGGAAATATGTAATTCCGATAGAAAAGAA